AATTGAATGGTTGAGATGAGGGTTGTATAGGGTGTAGGAATGGCAAATGGTGTAGAATAACATCCCTCTATATATATATATATATATATATATATATATATATATTGATTAACCTCGATATCCAACCCGCTATGCGAGCCGACTAATTCCAGGGCGACCACCTGCTATGCAGATAGCCCGGAGTCTCCGCATTTGAACCTCTGTGGCCACAAGGGGATTTTTATTTCTCCTTGGATTTAAACCTGGGACCTACGGGTACTTTTAACCTTTGGAGCCAAACTCAAACCAATCAGGCACCACCCTTATGATTGTATATGTATATACTGATATTATATGCAAGCAACCAGATGGATATACGTGATTTTATATCTTTTCTTTTTCGTTACATCAAAATCGCTTGGTGCCACACATTATTTTTGTGTAAAAGTTATTTAAAATCATCAATTAATGTGACAATTTATAGAGCACATGTTTACAATAATTGATGATAGAAAATCCGTCACATGTCTTAACATGTGTGGGTCATGCCAAGATATTTGACAAAAATATAATATGAAGATATCATAAAAATGAAGAAAAAAATATTGATGTTAGTACCAAATTAAATATTTAAATTTTTTTCTTTTTTTGTATTTTTTTTTAACTCATTTTTCTTATTTTTTATTTAACAATATCATTTTTTATAAAGATAATAATTAAGTATTTTGTTAGAATTTAATGATTATTCTACTTATATTTCATATTTTTTATATTTAAAATGGGATGTTTATCTTCTATTTGATTATGTTTATCTGCAGTTAGTTACATGGATTCAAACATAAAGCTTTAATAAGTTGTATTTACGCACAATTTACTTGTAATCTTAAATTTTAAGTAATATGCAACAATAAACAGTACTTTATGCATAAAAATTGGCTTTTAAGAGTTTTTGTCAAATGTTTTATAATATAGCATAGATTATGTAATGTTTTAGTTTTCATCGTGTTTTCTTTGTCATTTTACACGTGTTATATCAACTTAATTATTACCAAATTAAATTAGTTTATAAACTAATTTTCCAGGTAAAAAACTGGTTTTTCAGCTAGCAGTTAATTCCGAGATTGATCTAGGAAAAAAAATTGTGGTTGCACTGTAACATACATTGTAACAAAATTGTAGCGTCCTTAAGAACCTAAAAAGAATTGCAATACGCCATAAAAAATTGTGGTTGTGTAGCCTCCCATAGAAACCCTTTTGAAACTACACCTGGTTAGCTTAGAGCATTTCCAACAACTTCTATAAAATAGAGAAAATTGAGATTTTAAGCCAATATTTTGCTACAACAGCTTCCAAAAAACTATCTCCAAAATGAAGAAAGTAAGAAAGATAAAAGTTTTTCTCCAAATATGGAGATAACCCAAAAAATAATTATCAAGACCAACAGACGATTTTGAAAATAAATATTTAGAGAGAGAGAAATAACATTTTAACAGATAAATTAAATATTTTTATATCATCTTTAAAATTAAAATTTACATCAATTTTTAATTTTTAAAAAAATTATATGAATGGTGGATGCATCTTTCAAAAAAAAGTGGCAAACAAAAGTGGGTAAGAAAAGACACTCAATGATGTCCCCATAAAGGGGCCAAGTCAATAATGTTACCAACTTCAGTACAATCCTCACATAAATGTATGGAAAGATTAATGACATCCCTAACCTTTATTAATGGTATTTTTATATAATGTAATCATTTTTTTTCGGTTTTTTTTTGTACTTTTATTACTATTACATATAAAAGATATAAACAACTCATTGGGGGTAAATTGGTTATTTTATCTGTTATGTTCTATCCAGTTATGTCTTACCAAACGTTCTACCATGTTATGTTATGTTATGTCATGTCCTATTATGTTCTCCTTGTCTAGATATTAAACGCACTCTTAAGAACATCTTCAATGATTCTTCAAAATGGAGAGAAAATGAAGATTTTGTAGCTTTTAATATAATATTTCCCAACAGATAACAGATTCTCTTATTCTTTTCTTAAAAGGGCAAATTGTATGAAAAAATAACGTATTTTAACTTGATTCCTATTTTTTGTAACGTATTTTCAAAACTTCCATTTTGGTACTTAAGATTTGATAATTTCATCCATAGTAACTACTTTTTCTTTTCTAAAGTATATATAATATTTATATACGACAAATAGAACAAATAAACTAATGCACTCTTCTCATCATTAGCGAGGTTTGAACATCTGACATGCTAGGAGGTCAAAGACTCACATACCGCTAGGTCAAAGACCTTTTGGTCATAATATCTATGTTGAAAAGCAAATCAACCAATTATTGTCTTTTTCTTTATGGAAAACTATTATTTTCATCAGAATGAAAAAAGACCACACCAGATTCTTTTATAAGCAACTAGAAACGAACCCAAATTCTTGAAGAAAAATGGCAACTCATCGTGTCATGAGCTTATTACTATTAAGCATCYTGATGATGATGATGACCAATAATTGCAGCGGTTCTCTTATGTTATCGAACCAATCTCACTGCAATAACGGCACTTATTGCACAATGGTCGGCTACCAATCATTTGTAGAAGATGTCGATGATGGTGATCAACACTTGCAAGTGGGCACAGAAGAATATAGACGGATTCTAGGTGAAGTTCCTCCTCATATTTCTAATGGAGCTGTAAGAGATCCTTCAACAGCTATATCGGACTTTACAGGAGCCAAATGCACTTATAAATGCCCTCGGTCTGGCCACCGGCCCGAGCCAAAGAGTTAGAATGTAAGGATTGATCTCTTCTTTCCAATTATGGAAAGTAATTGAATTTATGGTTCTTAAGTTTGTGTTTCTTTCAATTCCCTTATGTTTATAACTTGTATTTTCTTTACCATGGAATAAAATAGAAAGGTTGCTTTTACTAAAATTATTCATTATAATAAAATTGGTTTTATAGAAAACCAATTATGCAGGGACAAATCCAGTGTATTGGATACGATAGTACGGGTCATCACTMTGTTCCTCTGTCACAGTAAAAAAATTATATGGTCATGAAAAGTGTTATCGTATCAATTTGTTGTGTGTCACTGTATATATTTGATATACAATAAGACCACAAGTTTTCCTTTGTGGAGTTTGTTTGCAAGGATTTTTTTCACCTCAGTCCCGAGTTTGAATCTTGTTAGTGTCATTTTCTTAGCTTTTAACTTTAATTTCAGATTTATTATGTTTCTGGAAAGAAAAAAATTGCAATAAAAGACTTGAACACATGGCCTTACCAACCAACAAACCAATGATGATTTTGTTAAAAATATCATTATATTTGTTTTTTATAGTTAAATTGTGCTACTGCTACCACTTAAAGAATGTCTAGGTCCATGTCTGCAGTTATGTCTGTATAAATAAAGTATTTCTTACTGATATTTATCACCTACACATGTCTAAGAAAGTTTCTTATAACTGATAACCTAGAATTTTTATACTTAGACAAAATTATTTATCTGGTTGCAACTCTCGCCTTGTGTTCTCGAGTACTTTCCGACAAATGAAAGGGAAAGAAAATAAGAGGGGAAAAATCTGGTGTTTGCAAATTTTATTCAAGAGGGACAAGAAAAAGGAAAACGATAAAATAATGTAGATTTTCGTCTGATATTTGAGATAAAAGTTAAGATAACAAAAGAAATTAATATCAGTTAAAATTATATATAAAGTCACATTACTTACAACTCATTGTAAAGTAAATAAATAGAAATATATTTGTAAAACTGATATCATTCATTTTCATCTGCTCCTACTCAAGAACATTAAGGGGGTGTTTGGTTAAAGGTATTAAGCAGTAATTAATGAGAATGAAAATAAAAAAAAAAATGTTTGGTTTTCTATAATATAATATGTTTATTTCCCCAAAAGCCCAAAATTTCATTCCTGGTTGAACCGGAGGGAATGAAAATTCATTCTCATTTTCATTCTCTGTCATTTTTATTTTCATTCCTCAGCATGAAGCAAACAGACTCTAAA